ACTGAAGAAAAAAAAGGTTTATGACTAGAAATGTTATCGAAAAGAACTGTACTGACAAGTGACTAGAATACACTGTGACTAGGAATTAACCTGACTAGAAACCGCTCTGACTAGTAGTCCCGCTGACTAGAAACCGCTCTGACTAGTAGACCCGCTGACTAGAAACCGCTCTGACTAGTAGTCCCGCTGACTAGAAACCGCTCTGACTAGTAGACCCGCTGACTAGAAACCGCTCTGACTAGTAGATTGCACGACTAGAAATCGATCTGACTAGTAATTCCATTGACTAGAAATTCCTATGACTAGTAAATTTATTTGACTAGAAATTCCTATGACTAGTAAATTCATTTGACTAGAAATTTCTCTTGACTAAGAACTGACTAGAATTTCCTTCCTTACTGGAATACTCTTGAAACTCCAAGAACTAGTAAAGAAAAGAAATAAACTATCGGACTAGAAAACTCATTGACTAGTAACTCAACTGACTAGCTGACACGAAGACTAGAAAAAATGACTATAATCAGTTCGCAAAGAATGAGTTTAATTTTGAGAATTTCAGATTTTATGATTAGCGAATTAAGATCATCACAAGAGACTAGAAAAAAAATAATTACTAGTGAGTTTAATGATATAAATTGCAGCATTCTCGACCATTAAACTCAGACATTGACAAACCTGATGACTAGAAAAATCAGCTGATTATTAGTAAACCTTCAGACAAGATAATCCAATGACTAGGACGACATTTGACTAGAAAATTATGCAAATATTTGTTGACTAGACATAATAACGAATATTACACTACCCCAAGCTGTTCCTCTTGACCAGTTATCTACCAAAAAGATAAATCCTATGACTAGAATTACCTAACGACTAGTTACGTTAACTTGACTAGTTTTTTAACGTTCAATGGCTAGTCTGACGTGACTAGGTGAACGCGCTACTTATCCAAGATAAATGAATCTTCCAAAGAAAAAATACCTTTGAAAAAAGAGAAACCTTAAAACCAATTATATATTTTGATTTTGATTTTTTTTTTTTACTTTACTTTTTTTTTTTAGTTTTGAATCGCCTCTTTTCACCGACATGGAAATGACAAACGACCTTTCCCGTGAGCGAAAAGATGGTCATTTTCACGGCAACGTTTGACGTATTGGGGAAAAAGGGTCGATTCTTACGATGACACGAGGACATGCGGGAATAAATGCTTTAAAATTAGGAAGCTGATATCGTATATATATATGTATATATTGCATACACAGACACCACACACACAAACACACATACACACATACACACACACACATACACACTCGCACACAGGCGCGCACACACGCACACACACACACATACACACTCGCACACACACACACCACACCACACACACACACACACACACACACACACACACACACACACGCACACACACCACACACACACACACACACACACACAACACACACACACACACACACACACAACACACACACACATACACACACACACACGCACATATATATATAAGATATCAGTGACTAGATCTTCACTCTCCTTAATGAGAAATGACTTAGATTTTAAAATTACGAAAGTTATTCTAATTACTACCAAATGACTAGATATTGCACTTATCCAAGACTAGATATAAATACAAATTATACCAAGCTTAAAAAAAGAACAGAATTTTGAGGGGGAACTTAACTAATACTGACTAGAGTCTACACTTGTCCAACTCAAGACCTTTAAGAATACGACTAGAAAAGCTTCATCTCTGGCGACAAAGCGACGACTTACGAATATTGACTAGGACTTCACTCTTCCACGACTAGGGTGGCGACTAAGAAAAACGACTGACTAGAATCTTTTCTTTACACTCGCCCTGTGCTAATATTAAGATCTTAAATGCAAAACTAATGACTAGAATTTGCACTCTCCCGCGACTAGTTACAAAGAACGGGCCGAAAAAATACTTAGAAAACATTGACTAGATTTTTTTTCCATGATCTACGACTCGCCCTGACAAACACACGCACACACGCACACACGCACACGACGCGGAGGTGGGGTGGTCGTCTCGGCTAACGACTAGCGAGCGACGACCTCCCTCCCTCCCTACGACTAGAGACTTAATGACTAGAGACTACGAGGCGGACGAGAGATCAAAATTATTCCGGATAAATGACTTCTCTGGGAGACTTTTTCTTTCTCTTTTTTTTTTTTTTTTTTTTTTTTTTTTTGCCTGTCTATTTATCTATCTTTTATCGTTTTATCGATGAGTGGTTTAAATTATTATTTTTTTATCTACTTGTCAATTTTGATTTATCTGTTTACTTATCTCGATCGTTGTATCGATAGAGCATTATTTGAAATAAAAAATCTCTTCAGTATATTTTTTTCTTTTTTTTTACACTCGAAATACAAGAATGAAAAGGTCTCTCAGAGTCCCGGAGGAGAGATGTCCGCCATGCTAGAAAAATGTGACTAGATTTTCCTCATCCACTTGAGGGTGGATCAACACACACACCTCGAGACATACGTATACAATAGACGTGCACTTAAAACGAACGAAAACGGATAAATAAAGAAACGTGTAATTGTAAGCTATGAAAGACGAATGGCGACTTGTTGAGGGCATGGAGGAGACGGCGATAAACGAGGCGGAAGGGCGAGAGAAGGAAGAATGGGAGAGAGGTGAAAAGGGGGAGCTGGATTAATTCTTCCTTTTCTTCCGTTTCCGCTGTTTCCGTCTCTTCCGCGCGCTCAACGGGGTAGGGCGGCTGTGGGCGGCGGAGGGGGAGGGAGCATATCCCACATCATTACTTTCCTCCCTTTTAATCGACTCTAAATTCCCGAATCTAACCATTAAAACCCAATTAAAAAAACATAAACGAGGTAACATTCTTTGTTTGTTTGTTGGAGACCGTATCTAAATTTCCCCCTTTTTTACACTCAAAATCCCCCATTTTTCCCCACTCCTCCCCCGCCCGAATTCTCTCTCCACGCCATCCCTCCGCCCTCGCCCTCCGCCCTCCCCCACGCAGCCACCCCACACGCACGCGAGGGCGGCGAACACTAAATATACCTAAAGCACGAAGCAAGGGTCGCGCCGACGGCCTCCAGCGAAGGAGGCAACGCGCGCTGATTAACACTGAGAACTGGGATAAGTCACCCGGCAGCGGCCTTTCGGCTCCGCTGTTTGGGGAAAGGGACAGACGAAAGAGAAAGAGACAAAGAGAGATAGAAAGAAGAGGTAATAAGCTAATGAAGCCGGGTGAAGCAGCGAGGCGGCGACCAGCGCGAGGCGAGGAGGAGCAGACCGGCAGGGAAGCGAGAGACGCAGAGAGGTCTGTCGGAAAATCGAAAGTATCCGAATTACCGATGAGCCTACCGGCACCACCTCCCGCTCCGGACGCCCCTGTTCCACCGCACTGCGCGCGCACGCTCACGCTCCCGACTCTCGGCCTCAGAATAAATACTTATAACTATTCAGCGTCATGATTGCTGCTCTCGGGACATCTGTTCAGCCGCCAGACGGAGACGAAGCGCGCAACCTGAGGCTATTTTTTTTTTTTTTTTTTTACATTTTCACTTCAGATTGTTTCGACTGGAGATAATCCAGTGCGGAAGAAGAGGAGAAACACACTGACTTCTCTGTACACTGACATGGCACAATAAATACACGGTAATTCGGGTTTCACCCAGAGATAAATACAGCATAGAATATATAGTTATGTATATGTATATCATATGTACATACGTTACTATCTTACACACAGCCCATGTTTTAAACACCACTCATGTGAAACATTACGGAAACACACGCAACGGTTTGGAAAGAAGATAGAATTACACACGCGCCCTGATCATCGTTCAGCGACAAACACACACGGGGGCGCCGTGAATGGCAGACAACACTCTCTTCAACGCCACGAGAAAATTCACTCTGACTTCCTTTTCTCTTTTTTGTTTTACTTTTGTTTTACTTTTTTTTGCTTCAAATGCCTCAGTCAGTCATTTTAATTTTTTCCCTTAAACATATACTTATTCCGACAAAACTTCAGTGTCCTTAAACTCCACTTAATTTTATATATTGCACTTGACTGATTGCACGGGTTCCTTGCAAAGTTGCACACGCTCCCAGCTTTCGACTAATCTTGCCAATTAGTTATGACTTAAAGTATATATGCTTAACATTTCTCTCTCTTGTTCGGAGACAGAATTAATACGATTATCCTTTTTTGCTTCTGTATAAAAAAGTCTTCGTGTTTTTGTGTAAATTGTCCTTGAATGGAGAACTAACGCTTGTAGTACTATTTTCAACGTTTTATCTGCATCCAAAACCAAGACCTATTCGAAGTGTTTTGACGAGCTCATCTACCCTCCTGTAATCCATCGACTCCCCCCCCTCCCCCCCCCCCAATCAAACGCACGAAATCTCCCCCAACAGAGAACCGTAATTGGATAGCCAAAGGTTCAGACAAAGGAGAGAGAGAGAGAGAGAGAGAGAGAGAGAGAGAGAGATGGATAAATAGCAAGATAGATAGATAAAGAGAGAGAGAAAGAAGAAGAAGAAAAAATCGACGCAGCAAGGAAGGAAGATCGAATCGGATCCAACCCCGCTCCGATCTTCGATCCTACTACGAACCGATTCGAAATCAGAATCAATAAATCCCACAATTTTGACAAACGGAGAAAAGAAAATAGTACTTCATCGCGTCAATACTCTCAATCAATAGGCAATTTACATGATTTTATCTTTTTTTCCCGATAAATAATATATCGACTGATTCATCTGAATATCAATTTATAAGTGACGTGTTGCGGAAGAGAATGTCGTCGGCCATTTTTTTGTTTTAAAAAGTTGCCTTAAATCTACAAACATCCAGAAGGAACACACAAGAGACAAATCGAACAGTGAAAAGAGGCAAAGGGAAGTGATGAATAAAAAGGGGAGGTAAAGAGGGAACAATTGTTTTCCTTGTTTATAATATCTCCGTTCTTCCTTTTTTTTTTTTTTTTTTTTTTTTTGCTTTCTTTTCTCTTTTTTATAGGTAAAATGTTCCGCTTCTTTGCCTCCCCTTCTCCTATTCTTCGTGTCACTCACCCGGCCTCAGGGAACCGTGACAAAGACAATAATAATAAAAAAAAAAAACTCATTTCATTAACCACAGAATGAGATCAATTACACATACAGAAGGATGTTGGCTGCTGCCTTGTTCAAACATCCCACGGACTAAATTGTTACATCTTTTGCTCGCAGTACCTTAATCTGAGTATCTTTTACATCATATTGTTTTTGATTTTGGTGGCCTGGAATCCACTGCAAGAATACAGTCGTGTGGTCTCTCTGGTTGAATCAGGTACTTTCTTGTTGATTATCATTAATTCATGAAGTAATCTTAAGCTGAACTGGGAGACGGAGCCTTATATTGTAAAAAGTCCTTACACTTATTTGCTAAGTAAAACTACTTTTGGAATGGTGACTTTGCTTATGTAATGAAATCACGTGACTAGAATCATTAATAAGCATTGAATTAAAATCGACGTGATCGTGTGATTAACTTCCCATAACTTATGCTAACGACTACAGTGCACGCGGCGTCTTGAAGTTTTCTGGCCGTAAGACACATCGGCGCAGAAAATGAAGACAGAACACAACTGATGATAAATAAAGACAAGCAATCATAAATAAATGTACACGCTTACATTGCTAGTGGATACTCTCCCAGTTGTCTTAAGAAATAGATATCCTAAGAATGAATGACAAAGACACTCACTGGTGCGTGGGTAAGAGGGAGCCGAGACCAAGAGCATGAGCAGCCTGGACTCGAATTAATCTAACCTGCTGAAGGAGGACCTGCTGGAGGAGGAGGCGGAGATGAGCAGTCTGTCGTCGCCTGCTGGAGCGCCACCGCTGAGACCGGGGAGGAACCCGCAGACGCCGCCGCTGGTGAGACGTGTCTGCGTCGGGGAGCGGCCTCCGTGGTGCCCTCGGAGAGAAGGGCATCGCAAGACGCCCTCTGGAACTCGTCTGGCACCGGAGGAAACCGCTGGAGTGAGGGAGGGGGCGGAAGGGAAGGGCGCCGCCTTCCAGAGGATGAGGGAGGGTTATGCTGCATAGGGAGTTAGGTCGGCGCGGAGATCTGGTGGGGGCGATGTATGAGGTGCGGCGGAGGGGGCGGAGGAGGGGCTTGTGTTAGGAGGTGTCCCCGTGGGGAAAACTGGGGGCGCGGGATGTGCAGGGGCGTGGGTTCAACCGGCTCCACTTTAGGGGCGTGAGCAGCCTGTAGGTGAAGCTCGAGAGCCGCGGGGGTGTAGAATGCTGCTGCACATAGATGGCAGGGGAGGACCTCGCTCGGGAAGGGAGGGGAGAGCAAGGGCGGGAGTGCGGGCGGCTGGGAAGATAAGGAAGGGTGAGAGGGCAAAGGGGCGGCGCTGGACGACGACGGCCCGGCACCCGCGTGCTCGTCTCCAAGATCTCCTCGATGCGTCGCCAAGTGCTTCCGTAGGTAGGACTGCCGCTTGAACTTCTTGAAGCACAGCTCACACTCGAACTGCTCCTCGGACGCCTCCTCCTCCCTCTCCGCGGGCGTGAAGTGCGCCAGAGGGACGAGGGCGGGCGGGCCTTTCACGAGGTTGTTGTTCGTGATGTTGCTGTTGTTGTTGTTGGTGTTAGTGCTGTTGTTGTTGTTCTCAATGTAGTGTTTACTCGACCCGACGTCGCTCTCGGGAGATATCTTGGGCGACGACGTGGCAGAGGTGGAGGTGCCGGGGGTGGGGACGCCCACGGGGGTCGTTGTCTTGGGCTTGTGCCAGCGTCTGTGCGAGGCAAGGTTGGCGGGGCAGTTGAAGACCTTGTCGCACTCGGGGCAGCGGTACTCCACGTGGATGATCCTTGAGCATCTGTGTTGCGCCAGCCCGAAGGCGTCGTCGTACATCTCCTTGCAGAGACGACACACATAATCGCCGATCTTATTGTCTATTTTGGCCAGCTCGGCTTTGGCCTCCTCTGTGATCTCAACCACGTTGTAGGCGGGGTCGATGTCGCCCTTCCGCACCACCAGGGGCTCCTCTCCCTCCGCCAGCTCGCGGATGATGGTGCCGGACACCGGGGACGTCTTGTCCTCGTCGAAGTTGAGTCTCCGCGCCGCCTTGGTCTTCTTGGAGGTCTTCATCTTCTTCTCGGGCGTGCCGGAGGTGGTCGGGGACTTGCGCTTGTGGGGCGTGGGCACCCCTCCCAGCCCGGCCGGCGACTTGCTGGGGACTTTTAGCGGCGTGATGTGGCGGGGGGAGCCGGGGGGACGGGGCGTGGAGGTGGTGGTGAGGTTGAGGCCGTCCTGGGGGCTCCTCATCGGCACAGCGGTGTGACTAAGGTCGTACGGAGGTCGTCCCAGCGGCGAGGTGAAGGGGATGGGTGACCTGAGCGGCGACGAGCCATGCGGCCAGTACACGGTGGGGGACAACAGGTGGTACGGGCTCGTCTCGGGCGGGATCAGGTACCGGGCCTCCTCCACGCGCGGACTCGTCGCCTGGAAGCCGTGGTAGTGACTGACCTCGTGACCGCCATGCAGCGTCGACACATGCAATGCACTCGTGACGTCGGCGTCGGGAAGCTTCCTCTTGACGAGCGCCAAGGGCGACGTCTGCTCGATCTCGCACGGCGTCGCGAGGACGTCCGTGTGAAGCTTGGGAGGCAGGCGCGGTGTCGCCGCCTGGTACACCGACCTCCTGTAGAAGTCGCTGTCAGAGGGACTGCTGAAGCCAGAGTCCGGCGTTCTGACGAGCAGGCGACTCCCCTTATCCACACCCCGCACGTGCACCACTTCCTTGACCCCTTCCACATAGCTCTCCACACGCACCTGTTCCTCTCTGGCTGACAGCGACTCTCTGCTCCCACTGCTGGAATGCCGACGCCGGAGGCTGAAGTCCACCGGTTCCTCTTGCTCGTCGTGCATGATGGCACTTCTCCAAGGCCGGTATGGCACCAAGTCCAAAGCACTCATGTCTTCTCTTCTTTTCACCAGGAAACCTTTCGGCATTATCACAGTTGAGATCACAGATGGAAGCAGCGAGCTGACTCAAATCTACAGTGTAAAGACGTGACGGGCGCCCGGCAAGCGCCTCACATCTTGTTTACCAAGTGAGTGAGGGAGGGCGAGAGAGGAGCGCAGGAGAATGCGTCCGCCCTGCTCCCCACCCGATAACCAACTGAGTGTGCGAGCAGCGCGGCGTCCCCTCGGTGGCACCTGGGCGTGCCGACGCTGGTTGGCCACACGCTCGCGTACCGGCCGCTGATTGGGCGCGCGTGCCGACAGACCCGCCCCGCGGCAGGTGTGCAGCGGGGGCACGTGCGGCGGCCTCCGACTCCTAAATCGATGACTGAGGATTATACATTTAGCTCTGTGTCCGCAGTCCTTCAGAGCAGCTTTATTAGTTCTCTGTAAATTCCCAGCGATAACCCCGAGGGTCAGAACAAAGCCATTGTGCAGATATTCATAACTGGGGGCCGCCGGCACGCGTCCCCTGTCGTGACAGCTGCCCCTGCACCCGGCTGCCTTATCTGTACACATCTGCAGCCCCTCATCTCTATTTTAATTTCTGAGCAAGGGAAATTAGAGTTGTAAAGTAACGGTCCTCTCTGATAGTATGCCGGGTCAGATTATTTGCATAATTTCAGGAAAATGAAATCGTTGCACTACTTCATACATCTAAAAGTGGGGCATTGCAAAATTCAAGTATAAGGATAACGCAAAGGGAGACTTTTCTCTGAATCTCACCGACTGTCGTCAGCTAACTAGGTTATTATTTTTTTACGCTTTTTGCTGCTGCAGGCGAGAGCTGCATTAACACGCATAGTGTCATGCCAGGATGCTTCCAAAGAACGCGTTGTAATGTTTCGCTTTCATTGGCAATTCCCTTTCACAGAATCTTACGACGTAAAAAGGAATTAAGTGACGTTGTGTAATATTCTACAAAATACAGAAAACGCGAAAGAATAAAATCAGATTCCAGATAATCTAGTCGGTCTCTCCGTCCGGGAAGCTCCGCCCCCTCTCGCGATTGGCCGCTTTCATCCGGGCGGCGGCCAATCAGCGCGGCTCCCGCCAACGCCGCCGCGAGCCAATGGGATTCCTTCCCGCCACGCGACAGTGTCAAGAAAAATGTCTTCCAATCAGGCTTCCCGTCGTTATTGGCGCCAAATCACAGCTTACCTGCCGCGCGCCAATTTACCGATAGGGCACGATTTTACCGCCGGTAAATTAAGCGCCGCAAGTCGGGAGTCTTTTGTTGGCCGTAAAGAGGAAGTGTTCAGCTTTCCCTCTTGTTGGCTCTCCCATTCTTGTTTCTTGCTTTTTAAATTGTTTATTCTTTGTGGTGCATCGCCTTTTTCTTTTTCGTTTTTTGACGGAACTTTTGCTGTCTTGGTATTATAACCTGAATAACGGGTTAATTATATCACCGTCAATATTTATATTGTTATTAGGATAACCTTATTTGTCAATAATGCCAAATAATTCAAAATAAATGAATGAACTAAAATGTTCAAGAATTATCAACATAAACAAGAAAAGTCAAAGCAATTAATACAAAACATTGTGATCTGTTATTTTTTAATCAAATGTTGCATTAGTATTCTTTATTTCCTGTCGATATTATCAGTTATTTTTCACATCAATACAATATATTTTTTCGAAAATGTTATCGTTCATATAATTTTCTCCATCTCGATCATAATCTAATTTTATGTTATGTCTATCGGCATAACATTACATTTGTATTTTCTGAATATTGTAATGTCAATTATTGTCATTATTATTGTCACTACTTTGTACCAATATTTCTATCATCGTTATTATAATCATTGTCATTATTACTATTATCATTATTATTATTGTTATTATCATCATTATTATCATTATCATTATCACCATTAATACTACTACTATTACTGCAACTATTATCATTATTTTTGTCATTATTACTACTTTTGACATGATCATTATCATTACTACTATTCTTGTTATTTTCATTATCAATATCTTTGCTATCATCATTATTGTTATTGTCATTATCATTAATAATGAAACTGCTATAATTATCCTTTTTGTTATTATTATTATTATTATTATTATTAATATTATTATTATTATTATTATTATTGTTATTATTATTATTATCATTATTGTTATTATTATTATTATCATTATTATTATTATTATTATTATTAATATTATTATTATTATTATTATTAATATTATTATTATTATTATTATTATTGTTATTATTATTATTATCATTATTGTTATTATGATTATTATCATTATTATTATTATTATTATTATTACTATTATTAATCATCATCATCATTATCTTCATTACTATTATAGTTGTCATTATTATTATCATTATCAGTATTATTATCATTATGATCCTTCTCATTCTCATTATTGTTCTTTTATCAATGGTATGTTGCTGTTGCTATTATCATCACTATTATCATTAACATCATTATCATCATCATGACTGTTATCCTTCTTTTGATTGGTAGTCTTTTTAATATCATTACATCAATTGTTATTGCTTTTATCATTATTTTTCTCATTATTGTCACTACTATTACTATTATTATTGCTATTATCATTGCTATTATTATTATTCTTATCATTGTTATCATTGGCATTATTATCATTATCGTTATAATCATCATTATCATTATTATCATTATCGTTATCATTCCTATTCCTGTATTATCGTTATTGTTATTACTATTGCTGTTTTCATTTTCATTGTTATTATTATTATCATTGTTATTATTTTCATCACCATTTTTTCGTTATGATTTTTATTAACATTATCATTATTACCGTTACTACCGTTCGTAGTAGTATTTGTATCATCATTATCATTATTATCATTTTTGATAATATCATCATTATCATTATCTTTATCATTGTTGTTATTGTTAATATCATTATTATCATTATCCTCTTTATTACTATCATTATCATTATTAATATTGTATTTTTTATTGTTATGACTATCATAAATATTACTATTGTTATTATTATCATTATTTAAATTATCATTTTCTTTACCATTGTCATTATTATTATTGTTATCATATTTATCATCATCATTATTATGATTTCAAAATAGTAATAAAAATTATGATAACAATTGTAGTAATAACATTAATATTTACTATTGGTATCATAACAATTATGATTCATATGATTATCAACATCAACATTATTGTTACTTTTGTTATCATTATCATGATGATTATTGTTTTCATAATCATTATAACTATTAACATTATCATGATTGTTATTATATTTATCATCATTAATTATTATTATTATCTTCATCATTTTCATTGCCACTATCATCATCATTATTGCTATTACAACTATCATTTTCATCACTATTATAGTTACTATTATTATTATCAACATTGTTATTACTATTATTGTTATCGTCATCTTTACTATCATCATCATTTTTCCTGTTGTTGTCGTTATTCCATTTTCATTGTTATCATCATCATTATCATCATACTATTCACCATTTTCAGGATTAGTGATGCCTTTGTTTGCTCTTGTTGTTTTTGTGATAGTTTTTGTTAATGTATTTTCTTATCATTGTTGTCATTGTCATCATTGTTACTGCTTTTATTGTTTTGGTTATTACTTTCATTATCAATATCGTTCTTATTATCAATATTCTCATTGTTATTGTTATTATTATTATAATTATCATTATTATTTTTACTTGCAGTAGTAGTAGTAGTAATGTTATCATTGTTATTGTCATTATTGTTATTATCATTATCATCATCATCATCATTATCACTATTGTTGTTATCATTATTATCATTATCATTTCATTATCATTAATTTAGATCATTTATTATTGTTGTTGTTATTATCATCATTATCATTATTATTGTTATCATAATCATTATAGTTTTTATCATTTCATCATCATTATCATTATCATCATTATCATTTTATCATTGTTATCATCATTAGTATATTATCTTTATTATTGTTATTATTATTTTTGTTATTGTTATTATTATTATCATTATTATTATTATTATTATTATTATTATTATTATTATTATTATTATTATTATTATTTATTATTTA